GAGGGATGGAGAGAGAAGGAGAGAGGGATGGAGAGAGAGGGAGAGAGAAGGAGGGAGAGGGAGAGAAAGAGAGAGAGAAGGAGAGAAAGGGATGGAGAGAGAGGGAGAGAAGGAGAGAGAGAGACAGAGAGTAAGAGGGAGAGAGACAGAGAAAGAGACAGGGAGAGACAGAAACAGACAGAGACACGCTGAGAGACAGACGGAAAGAGGCACAGAACGAGAGGAAGAGGAGAGGCAGTGAAACAGCAGCTGTGAGCGTATGAGGGCGTGAGCTCTTCAGAGTCACTTGTTTCTGCAGACACTGCGCAAAGTAGCCACGGGAACACCATCCAAAGGAGCTGGGCCTCCCTTTGCATCAAGGTGCAGTCATTATTTTGGGGAAGACAATACATACAAGGGGGCTGGAAAGGGGTTGGTGACAGCTGGTGTGGGAGTGCCATGAAGTGTCCCAGGGCCTAGGTTCAAATCCTGACTCCTATCACTTAACTCCCTGAACCTCGATGTCCTCTTCTGCAAAAAGAGGAGACTGAGTTGACTCGCCCCTGGGGCTCCCTTCCAGCTTTAAACCGACGTCCCCACGATCCTGTTGGAAAGGGGCCTCACGGGCAGCACGCGGGGCCGAGTGAGGAGTTTTTCTCCCAGGTGCAGTGGGGTGAGGGGCCAAAAGGCCTGGAGGGCCCACCAAGGCTCTCTGGGCAGCCCCGGCCCCAGGGATCTCCTGTGTGCAGAGGCCCCGGGCTCTCCCCTGAGCGGCAGCCCCTCCCCTCCCTCACACCTCCCTCCTGCTCCTGCTGTGGGCACCGCCATCCTAGCGGGAGCCCACGCTCGCGTCACTCTGTGCTCCGCCACCCTCTCCCTACGCTGCCAAGGGTTGTCAGCCCTTGTCATTTCCATCTCGATAACAGCTGCATGTTTAGAGAATTGTACAGTTTGCCAAGGGCTTTACAGATATTGTCCTATGGGATCCTCATGTCAGCCTTGTGAGGGGAGTGCTGTTATTATCCCCATTTAACAATTGAGGAAACTGAGGCTAAGAGACGTATTGTGAAGAGAGAGCCAGGAGGCTTTGGTAACTGACTGCATAGGAGAGGTGGACAGAGGGAAGACTTTGACTGGGGAGGGCAGGGGGAGTGGATGGTGGCATGGCATTACAGGCAGCAAAAATTAAGTCAGAAGATGGTGGTGGTTTGGAGGTCTGGGTGTACCAGGTGTGAGATATGGACCCAGAAGTCGGGGGAGAGGGCAGGACTGAAGAAGGGGCTTTGGGAGTCAGCTGTTCAAGGGCAGTGAGCAAGCCTTGTGCAAACAAGCTCTAGACAGGATAAATGGGAGATGATCGGCATTGGGGTGGCCCTGGCATTTGACGGGATCAGGACAGGATTCTGGCAGAAGGACGGAATTTAGTTTGTACTTGAAGTCAGGGAGGACAGGAGTGAGGAGGGAGAGTTCCAGGCCTGGGAATGGTGTCCAGAGAGAAGGCCTGGAGCTGAGAGATGGACATAGCTGGGAGACTGGGGTCATGGAATCAGGAATAAGATGTGAGGAGACTGGAAAGGCAAGAGGGGCTGCTTAGAAAGGGCTTTGAGGGCCAAACAGAGCCGTTTGTATTTGATCCCAGAGGTGATAGGGAGTCACTGGAGTTCATAGAGTAGGGGAGTGACATGATCAAACTTGTGCTTTAGGAAGACAATTTGACAGTGAGTGGAGGCTGGCCTGGGGGCAGACTCCCTCCCCTGCCCCAAGCAGTGGTCCAGGGGCAAGGTGAGGAGGGCCTGCCCCAGGGGTAGGGCAAGGTCAGAGGAGAGAAGGGGGCATAATGGGGAGATGCTGCAGAGGTGAAGTCGACCAGAGGTGCCGCGGAGGTGAAGTCGACCAGAGG